ATGCATTCACAAAGCTTAAAGTTTCAATCAGAAAAAAATTACTCTTTCTTTTGTGTTTGCGAAATTTAATGCTGGGGTAAGAGCAAGTCACGTTTAGAGCTATGCAGCCTCCCTTCTGCAGCGAGGCACAGACCATTGGATAGATCCAGAGTAAGGTGGAATTTTTAGCCCAAACCCTACCCTGCTGGAAAGGCCCGGCTTTGGGGCATTTCTCCTACCTGTGACTGCACATTGGCTCCGACTTGGGACCCCTGGTAAGAATCCCCATTCAGACTCTGCATGTTCATGAACATGTCCCCAGAATTTGGGAGGTTAAAAGAACCAGAAGAACCTGGAAAGGAAAGAGTTAGGTAGCTGAATAACAGAGAGCTGCAAATATACACCCCCAAAGACCTCAGGGCAGGGCAAGGAAGAGAAGAGAGGAGGCGAGAGGAAAGGCAGCACAGGACAGAGTGGCCGGGGCGCGGGGACGTCCCGTCTGCCTCCGCTCGCGGCGGAGCGCTGCCGCTATCGACACGGCACCGGCTGAGGAGCACACTGCCTGTGTTTGTACCATGGTTCAACCAAAGGGCTTTTTTTAAACCATGGATCTGAAGAGCTGTCTACAACAAAGTTGCAGCAAAACTTCCCTGTAATAGTGCCAAACATGCTTGTGCTTTGCAGAAACCTCTGGAGCCCCAAAAAGCTTCTTTCTCGATACTCCCCCTGCTAACTTGATGCTCCAAAGAGTTGTGTCTTCAGATTTGTATAGGTAATACCAACCCACGTTTAAACGCCTGTGCCTGCTAGAATATTCCTCTTTTTAATTCTTACACTGACAATACATTTAACAGTTCTAAAAACCTGACTTGGAGCTCGGCCTCGTTATATTTGATGTTATTTTCACTGAATGAGAGAACACTTAAATCTCTATGTAAACAGGAAGGTGGCAGCAGTGTGAGCGGGGCAGCCGCGGGCCCACGGCACCGCTCCGCGTCCCGCTGCGCGCTGGCCCTGGAGCAGCCCCGCGCCGGCGGAACCTACCAGAGTTTGGGGTGGTGGGGGAGTTGGTCTGGTTGTTCTGGACGGCTGCGGCCACGGCGTGCGCTGCGGTCACGGCCGTCTTGGCCGCATAGAGGTTGGCTTCTTCCTGGAACTTCCCTATGTTCTTCTTGTACCTGATTCTCTTATTGCCAAACCAGTTGGACACCTGCACGGGAGAAGGGGAGAGTGAGGCGCGCGGAGCGGCCTGGCCCGCGGAGCGACTCGCCACCGCGCGCGGCGGGACGCATCAGTCACTTTGTCACCTGGAGGTGACAAAGGAGGCCTGGAGGATCCCGCAGGGGCTCCATGAGCCCCAGCGCAGGTCACGGCGCGCGCCGCGGGGCCGCGCGGAGCAGGGATAGAGCTGCCCCGCTCCAAGGCTCCGCGCGGCCCCGGCCTTTGTTCCAACGCGATTCAGGAGCGCTGAGCCCCCGCGGCGAGCTGGAAGGTGGGCCCTGCACCTCCGCCTCCCCGGGCGCATTCCTCGCGCTGCACTTAATATTACCTTGTCAGTCAGAGAGGCAATAATACATTAATGAAACCTAGCAAATAATTATTGTGGACAATCCGATTACGCTTTATTAACAGTTCCATAATTGAGGAATCTCTGTGCATGGAGCACAGTGTCCGCGGAGGCGTGGGGAGCCCTCTGTTTATGCACACCCCTGGACTCATCCAGCAGCAACCATCACCAATAAAGGTTTATTTAATTCTCACTGTAAAATTTTAATATCACCAGCAGCCTGGGGAAGCCTCAGCGAGTGTATTTGCTTGACAACAGATCATTTCCATCCTGCTAGTCCCAATACTTCTTAATCTTTAATATCAAGGCAATTAAAATTAATGGCCACTCATCCAGAGCCACTGTGGGCAGTGTTTCCTTGACATCAATTGTTTGATGGGATTACCTAGAGGTTAAACTAACAAGCAGGGTTTAATTGGAAGCAATGAGAGGAGCAGCGATCGTACGTTATGTTTAACCCGCGTACCACATCCCGGCGAATACCCAGCCATGTTCGTGCACGCCCCGCGCGCAGGGCGAGCGCCGCGCGGGGCAGCTCCCACAGCAGCTCCTC